AACAAAACCATGGTAACAAAAGCAGTATTGATCTTAAAAAAAAGATTGGCATGTCATTTTTAGAACTATTTAATCCTAGAGGTAGTAAAACTTAACTTTCAACCTTATATAATATCATAACAATACAAGAGGGTAAAAGATTAGGCTTCTTTCAATTCCTTCAATTTCATTGGCTCATATATATATATATATATATATATATATATATATATATATATATATATATATATATATAATAGATGGCATAATAAGCAAAAGGGAAATCCAGGCCAGAGAAATATGTGGAAATTTTAAGAAGATGAAGCGAAAAAACTATACGAAATCGTTTGAGGCGGCGAGTCTCATAGTTATTCTGATCACTCTTTTATGTCCCGTATGGTCGGTAAGTATTTTAATATCTTTTTCCAAGTTGACTGCGGTATGGAACAGAATCGAGAATTTTATTTTATTTTCACAACCATTTCATTATTTTGTTTCTCCATGATTAAACGTATATGCATTGATTCAATCATAATTCTATTGATCTAATTGAGAATATTGAAAATTGTTGTTAGTTACTTAATATATAAATTATCTGACGTTTAAGAAGTTCATCAATTTTGGTAATATTCATTAATTTCTTTATAATACACTAGCAGTAGATCCCGGCGTTGCCCGAGGATGTAACAGTAAGAGATAGATCAAGTATCGACCATCATAGAGACTGAAAAATAAAATTGACAAAGATTATTGTTTAAGGTTGATGGACACGCATGTTTTTTTTTTTTTTTACGAATTGGTCAAACCCAAACTCAAGCAAAAACATTGTTTTCAATCGTTATGAGTCTACCGATTGAATAGAATTTTGTTATAAACAATTGTCTTGTAAATGGAATTTTTAAAGCATTCTTAATGTAAAAATAAAGAAAAAAGTGTGCAAAACAATAAGAAACACTACCTGCCAAAAAAAAAGTGAAGTTTTGTTTAAATCGGTTGAAAAATGTAGGAAATCCGATCCCATATATAAACGAACACACACACACACAAACAACCTGGGTTTTATAATAAGTATAACTCGTTATGAGTTGTCCCCCTTTCATTCTTGCGATGACTCTTAATCGTGTTTTCAAATTGATTTCATGCAAAAACAATTGTGTCTTTCCAATTTTTGGCGCTGTCAGAACCACCGCAAGATAATTTTACGTAGTCCTGTGAAGTTTTGTTGAAATCGGTTGAAAAATGTAGGAAATCCGATCCAATATATAAACGTACAGACACACACAATCTGCGTTTTATAATAAGTAAGATTTCTTCGGGGTTGTTTATATGTTTTATCGGGTCTGTTTAACATATTCAATATAAGGCTAGAACAGAAGAATCTATCTATCTATTTCTCTCAAAAAAAAAACAAATTAATTTTTCTGCACTATGCGACAAAAATAGACCAATACATATTTTCCATGAAATGACATCCAAGAAATATTATATATTTATTTATGAACATTGAAATAAAGAATAAAACAATCCATATCGCCAAAGTCTTACCTTAAAAATACAGATTCCTATTTATCTTCAATATGATAACAGTCAATGTGGGAGAGGTACCATTGCGAATTCACAATACCCACCTTGGCACACACAATATGTAGCAAATACTATACATTCAGTGAAAATAAACAGCTATCAGAGTGTTAAAAAATACATTTCTGCGATATTTTAAACTTAAAGTAATATTTATTTCAAATCAGATTAATTAAACTTTAAACCAGCTAAAGTTTCGGAAAAATATATTTTATTTTTGAAATATTTTTTTAATAAAGCGATTTATTTGTAAGCTTAGGTACCTATAAACAGTGATGAGAAGAATGCGATAGATGATTTTACACTTTTAAAATAGATCTGAAATTTTCATCTTGTACCCAAGAGATTTTGTTTTTTTTTTTTTTTTTTTGTTTCTTCATTTTTTATTTGTTTCTTTCTTTTTTTTTTTTCTTTTTTTTTTTTTTTTGTCAGGCCGTTGATGCTAAATTCCAATGCCATCCGATGTCTGTGATGTTTGATTCGAGTGAGTAGTTCTCATGTCTTTGGTCTGTATATATATTTTCTCAATTTTCGTTTTAATCCTGAATCACTGACCTTTTTGTGAAATTTCTTTATTTTTTTATGTTCAATTCAAACTCATTTTGTGTCTGCCTTTTACAAATTAAAATAACCTTTAAGTCTTACCTAGACGATATTTACGAAGCTTAACTTATTCAGACACCATAAGTGTGGCATTCACAGAATAAAACCTACTGCACAGTAGTAGTAGTAGTAGTAGTGGTACTCAAGACGTTCTAAACTCACACATGCGCGCATTTAGACAAACATGAGATGTGCTTAAATGCTTTTTTTCTATCAGCACGTTTCTTCTACGCTGGATTTATTAATACAGATATCATTTGCATTCTTTGCAAAATAAATTAGACTTGGTGTCAGAAGCAGTTTGATATTTTGGGGCATTGAAACTAGGATCCTAAATTCAGTGCCCTGAGTGCACTGAATTGCTCTGAGCTACTATTTCTGAACCGTTAGAATTTAGAATATAACAGATTGAATGTGACCTTCCACTTCTTGAGGCAGGTAGCCACCGCCAATGAGTTTTGAAGCAGCTACAGATGTAAAATATCATTTTAGGATGTGGAGCTAAGAGAAGAATTGTCGATTAAATCTGAATGTGAAGTGGAATAAATTGAAAAATAAAAATGTTAATGAATTACAATAAATGACTTACTAATTTTTAGGGTATATTTCCAACGCCGAATTAAATTCTTCTTGAAAATTAACCGCAGCTATTTTGTTGTATTTAAATGAAATTGCTACGAACATTTTTCTTTTGTGTAAGTAATTATCACTCGACCTTATGTTATAAACACGCATATGGTAGCACGGGAGAACAAACGAAATAACATGTACCGCCGGTGATGTGAAAGGAAAAGAAAACAAGAATTGTTAATATAAAATTCTTTGAGTTGTCAATACAGAAGTGAGCGTCTCTTTGTAGGCAAGGGAAGCAACTTGGAGGAAGAGTAGAATTGGTAGGGCCTGGAGTTGATGTGTGTGTCGGATCGGTTGACCAAGGTCTTGGTGACGTTGAGAGAGGTCGCTGGCAGATTAATTGAAGCTTGCTCGTTCACCGCGAATCTGTGTCAGTTGTTTATGTGTGGAGTACTTAAAAGTAAATGTGGTGGTTCATAAACTCATCTTTTTTATGTTTTTCTTTAGCAGCAACATTCGTGATCGACTTCTTTTATATTGTGCTTTATATTTTTTGAGGGGATTTGTGTTGTGGACCGGATGTGATATTCGGAGCCCCTGCGCAGAGGACAACTTTTTATTTTTGCTTTTGCTTTCTTGCCGTTCACATCTGGCGGCTGACATGTAAAGTGAATCAGAAAGAGATCTAATTTGAAGCAGAGTATAACACACAGGATTTTTTAACTAGAGTTGAGAGACTTCATTGTTTGTTAAATCAAACTATATAACGTGGAACAATTTCGTCTTCAAATCGAACCCATCACCCTTCCAACGGCCCAGACAAGGGCCAGTAAGCAAGATTTTGGCTGAGCAAAATAACACAACCACCGCTGCCGATGACAATCTTCAACTAATCATGCCCATTATGGTTGCAGGGGTGGGAGGATTATAAAGTTCCTATTGTAAAACTCGGTGAAGAGAACTGAATATCAGTGCCATTTCGTTAAAACGAACTCATTAGTTGCAAATCTCCTTTTGGTGAAATTCAGTACAACTGTGCGAGAAAGGGAAAATATATTTGAATATTAACAAAATATTTAGTTAATGTACTCTCAATTTTACACAAACGATGTATAGTAAAATTAGCAATTCATAAGAGAAAAGATATCTTTTAGCGTGCAATGAAAAATAAAAATTAAACAAAATAACGGTGAAAAAGTATACAATCAATTATTTTAAAATGGAAGACATTTGACACGACCAAAAAATTTCCATAAACTGACACGCCACTGAAAATTTCTTTCCGAATAACTCGAAAAATAACGTGAAAAGTAAAAATGAAGCGGATAGTAACCCGAAAGAAGATCAAAGGCATCTGTAAGATCAGTTATTAAAAACAATTAGTATTAGTAAACAATTAGCACATGAAGGATTTCAATTTTATCTATATGAATATATTGTGTCATTAAATTAAAAGCAGTAACTCTATAAGGTATGCCTTGTTGCGATGTGCTTACGACATTGCTAACTTTGCTAACAATTTAAATAACATGTAAATATATTTCATATTACCTCAAAGACATCAAATTAATGAAATAGTCCACAGCCACTCCAGATATTAATCCAATAGAAAACATATGCGACAATTTCAGTTACATATCGTACAGCAAACCGACGATACCTAGATATTTCTAACGCTATTTAGGCGCATCCCGACTCCCAAACCTCTTATAGTGGCTCCTTGTATCTAGCACCTCTAGTCCCCTCAAGGAAATTCTATGAGATAGGTGCGAGAAGTAATCCTGAAATCCCTAGAAAATACCTTCGTTTGCGGTCAATTGTCATCTTTCTGGTGATGCGACACGTGCCGTTTTGATATTCTGCACTCTACACTGTTCAGCGATCATATGCGTTGTCTCAGAAGATATCATGTTTAACTACTTGAACCTTCTTGATAAATAAGCTACGTCTACTTCAACTGTGTTTGATCTTCACTATCATCTAATGCCGTTTGTGCAGATTGATTATTTTGTTATAATCAAAAGTGTAACACCCCTGGTGAGCTCCGTGCAATTTCTCTGGCGGCCGTTCTCCACGCTATGATGTTGCCGGGAGTTGGTTGAAAAAGTCGAAGTCTCAAGCTGGGGGCACAAGATAAACCATTGAAGGAACAAACTTCCACAACTTAGATGAGTTTAATCGACGCTTTATTTCGTTCAGACTTAGTCTTGCCGTTGGGGTAGGCGATGTGACACTCAGCTCTAACTCTAACTAATGGAGATCAAATGCCGAACCGACCGACTCAGACGAACGGAGTTTCACTTCTTCAGTGTGCCTGACCCACGTAGCTACTTCAAGCACACGCCCAGCTGAACTGCTCGGCTCGGAAAAATCACTTGTATTTATATTGAAATAATCGGAAGTCCACTAGACCACCGAGTAAAAACAAAAGATAAGCATTGGCGACTGTAAGTTCAAAATTTCAAGGTACTTAAATTTTGCTCCAACGATGTTCTAGGATTTTTTTTATCTTTTTATCTTAACAAATCTTCGTGTGAAGGCCGTCGGATGTTTTTATAGCCCTGGCACTTTCTCAGTAGCCAGGGTTTTTTTTTCTTTTCTTTTTTTTTTATTGCCTGGAGAAAGGGAAAATTCTGTTATCTTTTCTTTATTTCCTTAATGTGTTGTCGAGATACAGTAAAGACAGTTTTTGACCTGATCATTTAAAATCTATTTCCTAAACGTTTATCTTTTATCACATCAAATCACTTAGTCAAATATTTTATTGGAAGACTGGTAGGATTTAACAGTAATCTGATGCCCTTTTCTCTTCCACAAATTTACTTATAAAAGAAAAAGCGTTTATTTCTTTATTTTTTCCTTTTCTTTTTCCCTTAGTACTTTTGTTAAACGAAACACATGTTTTTAAACTATTTTTCTATTCTTAACCGTTTTCTATTCTTAATTTATTAAAATAAAATACATATTTTACAAATCCACCTTAATATACGCCTAGTTATCGCGTCACAAAAGTAAACAGCATAACTTCCTTAATCTCAGTCTCAGCCATCAATTACTGCTTTAGAATTAGTATTAGCAAGTTCTGGAAGCCTTTTCATCCAATAAGGATGAATTTCTAGTTTCCAGTCATCTTAGATATAGCGCTAACTAAAATTATTCAGGCACGAAAGAGTCTATGGATCGCATAGATTACATTATGAAAATATGGACGCCTACTTCGATACGCTGTAATCGATGAAGAGTAACATTGAATTCGAGCAGTCTAAGTCCATACTAATTTTGGGAACTTCTTATTCTGGAGCTTGTCAACAAGATCCATCCTAACTATAAAATCACGAAAGGGTTTCACGTTAAGAAAAAAATGAGACGCTGAGCCTATTGGCTCAGCGTCTCATCGGCATATATCGACTTGATCAGATGCATAATTCAGACTGGTACGAATGTCAATACCATGTAGTTTTCTTTGCTTAGCAAAGGTGTTGAAAACTCCCCCTCCTCATACACACTTGTATATAGTTGAGAATTATCTGGGTAGTTGTGTGGCGATATAGTTGCGTGTATGCTATCAAGTGTTGCTGAAAGGGAATAAAAAGGGTTGCTAAAAGGGTATGTTATCAAGTGTTGCTGATCCGGTTGATATAATATACGTGAGAATAAGTTCAGTCGTATGAATATTAAAACGCATATCAATAATTCTACTTTTCCCTTGTTTGTTTTTTTTCTTCATTTTTTGACTGCTCACAGTTTTTTTAGTTTTTTTTTTTTTTTTTGGCTGTTTATTTTTCTTTTTATCTTCAATTGATTCTTCTACATCGAGTTGTCTATTCTCCTCGTCTTTTGAACTTTTCTTTTCATATGTCATCTACATTTCCTCTACAACTTCTTGTTTTCTCGTCCTCCTCTCTTTCTCTCTCTTATCATGTCTCTTTTCTATTTCTTTAATTCCCACTTCTTTTTTATTGTCTGTCAACACTCTCTTTATTTTCTTTGTCTATCTGCTTATCTATCGCTCTCTCCCACACAAACGCGCATACACTCTGTCTGTTTGTCACATGTGCATGCAATCCATTTACATAAAATTATATTCTTTAATTTCTGTTTCTTTATCCAACAGATAATTTTAAGGAATTATTCTGGGCAACACTCTCTGGAGAATATGTCAGGTAAAGGAATTCACTTACACTTGAAAATAATATTTGCATTCAATTTGCCGCTACCATTTTGGTCATTAATTTTAAACTATTTTTTTTATCTTTCATGTGTTTCCCCAGTTTTAAGTTTGTGTCGAAACTATGGTCGTTAAGAATTCAAAATGAAATCTGTATGACAAAAACATTTAAAATAATTTTTTCTGGCGTAACTTTGCTGAAAACTAAATACACAAATGCAGATTGACGCTGAAAAATAAGATCAAGTCTTAGGCCATTTGATAAATATGTGGAAAACTAGAAGCGCACTATTTGGAAATTATTTCATTGCTTCTAGAGAATAATTGTCCTGTGCTCTGATTTTGAATATTTGATAAGATTTTTACTTGTTTTCTTCATTTTATTATTGCTTTTTAATAAAACATGCAGGATGAGTAGCTTCATAATATTAATGTAATTAACTTGAATAAATGGATCGGTCTGAGATTCACTTGCGACTTATACGGTACAAACAAAAAGAAAAAATTGTGCGTACTGTGGAAAAATTCATGAAATGAAAAAAGAAAAATGCCCAGCCTTTGGAAAGACGTGTTCAAAGTGTTTTAAAAAAAAATCACTTCAAAGAAGTATGTAAAACGAAAAATGTGGAAAGAGTAGAGGATGAAAATAGACAGATTTTTAATGTAAAAAGGATAATATACAAAATAATGGATCTAAAAACGGAGATACAAAAAATAAAAGTGAAAATCAACGACTGTATTGTCGAAATGCAAATCGACACAGGTAGTGACGTCACGATAGTACCCAGAAATTTGTGGGAAAAAATGGGAAAACCGTTTTTAAAAAAACCAACGTACAACTACGTCAGTTTGATGGCTCGATTATAGCAATTATGGGTTACTTTGAAGGTTCAATAGAATTAAAAGAAAATATGAAATAGTACCCATTATAGTTACAAATTGCCGAAAAAACGCATGGACTACTGGGAATGACGTGTTAAAAAATAAATTCAACGAAGTTGATTAATGAGATAGAAATAGAAAAAAACAGGAAAATTAAAAAACTATGAAGTTAGCCTGAAATTAAAAGAAGATGTTTCCCCCTCCTACTACGAAGCGAGAAAAATACCAGTGCATTTATTACCATTGGTAATAGCTAAATTGCGAAAGCTAATAAAGGAAGACTTATTAGAACCTGCCCTCCAGGAGGAAGTAAATGGGCATCACCCATCGTGGTATTGAAAAAAAAAAGATGGTGACCTGAGAATTTGTGGAGATTATAAAATAGGGTGAACCATAAAGTTTGTGCTGACTCGTACCCTATTCCAAATGTGGAAGTAGCTTTACATAAGCTTGCTGGAATGAAAGTATTTTCGAAGATAGACCTAAAATCAGCTTACCACCAAATACCGATAAATGAAAATTTTAAAGAAGTGACGACTATAAACACACCTATAGGCCTGTTAAGGTGGAAAAATGCCGTCTGGCATAAAAACGGCAAGTGCAATTTTCAAAAAAAGCTATTGAAAAAGTAATAGGAAATGTTGAAAATACCATCTGTTATCAAGACGATATATGTGTTGGAGATTTAAATGAAGATGATTTAAAGAAAAAACTGAAAATATACTGAACCGGCTGAGAGACGCTGGTATGACAATAAATACAAAAAAGTGTGTAACCAACAGTAATGAAATATCATTTTTGGGTTACTCAATATCAAAGGAAGGGATCTCCAGATAAAGTACTAATAGAGAAAATTCTAAAAGTTGCTACACCAAAAATAAAAAAAATTGGTCCTTCTTAGGTTTGGTAAATTTTTATAGAAAATATGTACCAAAATATAATGAGTTGACAGAGCCATTTGCTAAGTTAAGAAAAAAAAAAAATGAATTCATTTGGTTAGAACACCAACAGAAAGCATTTGAAAACTTAAAACAGATTCTGGCAAAAAAGCCAATAGTACAAATTTTTTGACCCTAAGAAGGACATAACTCTAACTACTGACGCTAGTGAGCAGTCCATATCTGGTATTTTGTCACAAGATGGGCATCCCATAATGTATTTATCAAGGAGATTAACAACAACTGAACACAATTATTCGAATATAGAAAGGGAGGCACTAGCCATAGTGTGGACAACGCATAGAGCAAGACAGTTTTTGATGGGGAAAAATTCTTGTTGAAAAGTGATCATAGACCACTGGAATTTATTTTCAACCCAAGAAAAGAGCTACCGAAAGTTACAACGTCCAGAATATTACGTTGGGCGATTAGACTGATGGCGTTCGACTTTGACATTGAATATGTTAAAGGAATACGATACCGCACGTTGATGCCTTATCTAGATTGAGGTTTTATAGAGAGGAGGACAAAAACGACGAGGAATTTGAAGACACATTCTTGCACCTTGTAGAAACTGATGTAATATCTGTAGATAAAATGGCTACTGAAACTACAAATGACCCAGTGTTAAATAGAATAATGTCGAGGATAAAACAGAATCGTTGGGGAAATTGTTCAATGGCTGAAAGACCATTCAAAGAAATCAGACATAAAATGACTATAGAAAACGGGATAATATGTAATGGAGACTTGGTAGTTCCCCCAGAAACACAGAGGAGACAGGTTATAAAAAGTGTACACGATGACGTACATTGTGGAGTGGCAGCTACGCAAAGAAGATTAAAATTGGAAGCCTGGTGGCCGGGGTACTCAAGAGACGTAGAAGACTACGTAAAAAGATGCAAAAAATGCACAGAACTCAGGAATTTTAAGCAAAAGAAAATACATGTATGGCCCCGAGAAGTAGAACCATGGAGCAGAGTACACATGGACCATGCCTATGTCAATGGGATAGGACTATTATTAATATTAGTAGACGCATATTCAGGTTGGCCTGAAGTGGTGAGAGTACCTAATAAAAAAGTACCACCGTAAAAACAAATATTAAGAGTAATATTTTCGAGGAATGGGACACCGAGAACATTGGTGACTGATAACGCACCAGAATTTGTGGATGCTGATTTGCATGAATGGCTAAGAAAAATAGGATGCAGACCTTACAAGACCCCTCCCTACCACCCTCAAAGTAATGGGGCAGCGGAAAGGATGGTCCAGACGGTAAAGAAGGGCATAAAAGCATGCTTGCAACAGAAGGAGGAAATCGATGCTTTCCTACCAAGATTACTATTAAGTTACAGAACAATTCCACATGCAGGCAGGCCGGAAAGTCCATCTGCCTTAATGGGCAGACAATTAAGGTCCCCTTTGACTATGTCATATGCCACAAATCAAAAGATGTGGTACAAAAGAAATAGGAATATGCAACCAGAGTCAGCCGAATTTATTATGCAGAAAGGACATAATACTGCAATATTAAATAAAGAAAATGGGAACAGTGTTCTAGCTCATGCTGACCAAATAAGATCCCAAGGAGAAGAATCTGATGAGGAAATGCCTTCAGAGATGCCCATTATTGATGTATCAGAAGAGTTAATGCAGAATGAAACTGCGCAGGAAGAAGTAGAGAGGGATGAATTAGAAGAGGAAGACCAGAGTATGCAAGAGGAACAATTCGATTATAGGGAAAGACGTGATAGATCTAGATCTCCAAGGGAAAGGAGAGGGATAAAGGAAGATGTTCAGGAGGGCACAAGAAGTACAAGAAGTACTCGCGGCATAAGGCCCCTCCGTTATAGGGAGATGTAGTGATATGCAAATTAGTATAAATTGCATATAAGCAGGTAGCTCATAAATGGACACCAACGAGAACGGAAGTGGAATAAGAACTTAGTGGATACACGACATAACAGTGATAAAAAGCAACAACAAGATTAAGAAGATTAGTAAAATATGAATATTGAAAATAATTAATTTAAGAATTCAAATACTTTATATCTTTGTATAATATTCCACTTATTCTGTAGATTTCTATAATATAAAAAATGCTAGACTTTGTAAAAAAAAAAAAAAAGGATATATTGCCTACTTTTTACGATCTGTGTTAGTTTTTTCTCACGTGATCTCTTCCTACATGCTCACTAAAACCAATGCTTTGCGTTTCACAGATAAATGTTGCCTATTTTAATCTGTAATTAAAATACACAATTGATTTCTATTCATTGTAAAAGCTAATACGTTTACAAAATCTTCCACGTGTTTGGCTCATTAAACATCTACATGCTTTATTATGTTTCAAATAAAGATGTGAGCCACATTATTAAATTATTGTATCAGCAAAAATATCCAATATTTTTCGTAATCTATGTATGTGTGTAATTGAATGTTAAGTTAATAATTTTAGTATTGACTGAACATTCATTGTGGCTATTTTTATGACAAACACTAAACAGAAATCGACTGATGTAATTAATAAAATGAGCCGTTAAGTTTAAAATATGAGATCTTTTGTTTTGATTTAGGTTTATACTTACAAAACCACTAAGAATGACCAAAGAATCTGTAGAGTGTAATTTATTTTTATAGGGAAACTTTTTGCTACATTCCGATCCCTGACAATATGATCGAAACAAAAGTGAAACTCAATGCATCAACATTTCAACTGGACATTATTTTGGAATTTCCACATTCTGTGTTCCACCCAAATGCACAAGTTGTCATTACAGATGAAAATGGAGAAGATGAAAGAAGCGTGCATTTTAGTCCTCGCTGTATTTTATCTGGCCGTTTAGAGCACGGCCACGGAATGGCATCACTCTCCTATTGTAATGGTTGGGTAAGATGATTTTCATCGTACATTTACAATTCCCGACGTTTTTCATAATTTATTCTTTAATTTTCTTTTCAATCTATACATGAAATTTGATTTCAGATGCGTATTCACATCTGAATATGAGTATAGTGCACATAAGTATGCGTAAAGATAACACTCGA